AAACTTTCCAAACGTAATTTCTCATCACACACGTCCGATAACTTTTCCTCCATAGCTTCCTGAGCAAGTTCTAGCTTGATGATAAGTTCATTGTAGATAATTGATGGTGTTGCTTCGATAAATCTGATATTGGCTGAATCATCGTTGGAATTTCCACCTATTACCCATAGTCAACCTGTCAACCACCAAAATTATTCGGTCAGAACTCGTCCTTGTTAGCTCAGTTGGTAGAGCGTTCGGCTTTTACAGTCAAACTAGGGAAAACCCATTTCTTTAGCGGAAGTTAACCGAAATGTCGGGGGTTCGAGCCCCCCATGAGGAGTTCTATTTTTTTATATTAATACTTGGATAATTATGCTTACATTGCTGTTGTAATTGGGGATATTTCCTTTTTTTTTGGTTTTGCTATGACTATGATTGTTGATTTTATTGTGGTGCTTTTTATGGTTCTAAAAGCAATCAGTTGTGTTGTTTTGGTAATGTTTTAATTTTGTTCAAATGTGTTAAATTGTGTCATGCGATTGATTTTCAGGTACCAAAATTGATCTGAATTATAAGTAGTTGGTAAATATACTTAAGGATTGGCTATATATGTCAATTAAACTATGGGGATTTCGAATATGTAATTAATATTCGATAATAACCAGTAATTAATGAGATATTTGGGTTTGCAAAATTTTCCATTTTGCAAGTTTTTCCAAAATATCAATCTAATAAATTTTATTTTAAGTTTAAAAATGGAAAACTTCAAAATTGGTGATTTTTCAAACTGCTTTTTTTGACTCAAAACTATAACCACTATAAAGTAAAATTAATTCCAAAGATATTACAATATTAAATCAACCATCTCTTCACCAAAAATTAATTAATAAATTAAATTATTAAATCACACTTTATACCAAAAGTCGGAATTAAAATCTAAACCGGTGTCTTTTGTTTTGTTTTCTCGAATAAGAAAATCCAAAATAAAAATAAAATCAACTTTTCCAATGAAACAATAGAAAGTACTGATTATAATACAAAGAGATAGTCGTTCATTAAGCTGGTATACACTCGTTTGGCTACTATACTTTCACTCATTTGGCTACAGAGAAACAAGCGGTTCGATTGGTCAGACGACACGTTAGTTTTTGAATTGTTTACTTTTAGATCTTTGTTGGTATAAAAGGTACACCGTACGACGGAAAAGGGCTTAAACTTGATATTGGTTTATTATAGATTATATTGTATTACATTAATTGGAAAACTACACAAGGATTATAATGAGAGTCAAATTCCATGCCGAAAAAGCTTTTTTCAAAACAGATACAATTGATCCTTTCACTGGGTTACCAATTTATGTATTTGATTCAAATTTTTTACCTTATTTAAATGAATCTTTTGATAAAGAACAATTTGAAATGTTAATGGTTAAAGCTTTCAAGAAAATCATTGCAAGAATTCCTAAACATCCTTATGTTTTGATAGCTTTCACTTCGGGTTTCAAAAATTTTAATAATAGTAATAATTCTTGGGTTACTTGTCTTAAATGTTATCAAATTTTACCTGATGAATTGAAAAACTTTTTGAAAAAAATTTATATTGTTCATGAATCTTGGCTAGTTAGATCAATGATTCAAGTGCTTAATAATGTTTTGAGAGTTGGTTTCCTAAAGACAAATTCTTTTAGTGGTGAAAAAATTGATCGTTTAATTTATTGTAATGATTTAACTGAATTATCAAAACATATTGATATAACTAAAATTAGAATAAGTTTAGATGTTTATCTTTATGATTTACAATTTGAACCTAGATTAATAATACCATATTCTTCCAAGAAAAATTCTAAAGATTATAAATTTTATAAAGATTTAATTTTTAATAGAATTTCCAAAAGATTATTAATTGAAAGTTGTGATTATGAATTAGTATTCACAAAACCTGGGAATCCAAAAAGATTAGGGATATTATATGATGCTATTGAAAGAGGGAATTATCTTGATGTTTCACAATGGGATATTTATGTTATTGGTTCATTATATTTATCTATTTTAAGAAATGATTTTGATACGCTAATTCCAATTGATATGATTGAATTACCTATAAGTGATGAATACAATTATACACTGGAGACATTTCATAAGATCATTAAAACTAAAGGGAACTTTGATGTTTTAACTAAATTTTTCGAAATTTTAATTAAATTAATTGAAAATAATCAATGGACAAAACATGATTTGAAAACAATATCAAAGACAATAACACCAACTTTATGTAATTTGAAAATATCATTGAAAAATAGTGATTCTATTGCAATTGGACAACGATTTATTAAGAATTTATTAATCAATTGGGATCAAATAATAAAAGATACACAAGAACAAGAACCACAAGAACAACCAGCATTAGCATCAGCATCAGTCATTCCACCTACACCAAGAAAAGTTTCATTCCATAAAAGAACTCCATCAATACAAAGAGAACCTAAAATATTACCAAATATACCAACCCAAAAGAGAAATGTTTCATCATCATCAACAATTTCTATATCAAGTGAATCATCTGAAGAAAATTCTATAAATATTGAACCTACAATAACTTCAAATCCAATTGAATTAAAGAAAGATCATAAAGAAAACAAAGTATTATCAGATGTCACTAAATCCTTGAATAAACAACCAATTCAACCTCCATCAATAACTAAAAAACCAAATAAAGTTATAACTAAATTTAGTGATGGATATAGTTCAATTGAAGGAAAGAAAAAAGTTAATCAATTGGCTAAATTGTATGAAGAACGATTAATGGGGTTGGAAATCATGAAAGATATGAAATGAATTAAATAAATTATATAATGATGAATGAAATAAATGAAAATAATGAATAAAATATTGAAAAATACCTTTTAGTTTAAATTTTTAGTTTATACCTTTTGATACGCGAAACAAAACGCGTAAAAATTCTAGATTTGAAATTTTATTTTAATCGCGATTGACATTTTTATTGTGTGAATTTTGATGTAATTTTGTAAGTTTTAGTTTAAATTTAGCTCAATATTTAGTTTGAGAATTGATTGTTTATTGTTTTTGGAAAAGCATTGTTACGCTCTTTAATTTATTGGAATTGATTAGAATTGTTTTATTCACAGAAGTTGTGTTTTTATTGGGATTATCAATTGTCATACCGTCATACCATATAAAGAATATTATTCTCATTCCCAAAAAAGAACATAGTCAATAATATCAAACAATGGATTTCTATAATGATGAAGAATTAAGGAAATTAAGGGAACTAAAGACTCCTCATATAGCCGTCCCTCAAAAATTTAAAGATTTGTCTCCAACAAAACCATTGAATTGGATAGTTAGACAAAAAGAAGAAGAAGAAGCTGAACAAATACAAAAAGAAAGTGAAATTAAACCAAATTATAATTCAATAAGTAAAGACTCACCAAAATTAAATTCTAATACTTCTATAAATACTCATTTAACTGAAACTACAATGGATTCTTATGAGACTGCTTTAGATTATCAAAAATCTCATTCTGTTTCTTCATCAATGTCAAATAAAGAAAATGAGAATGTGAATTATAATGAAATTGAAGATTTAAATGAAGAACAAGATGATTCAAATTCTACAATAACGAGAAATCATCAACAACAGGGTGATACGACATTAGGCCTAGGTATAGGAGATTTATCATTATCAAACCCTGTTGAAGTTACAAGGCAAAATAATTGGGATTTTGAAAAACCAAATTCACAATCAAATTCACAATCAAATCTTTATAATGATGACCCAACTCCCAAAATTGAAGACTATAGATTTAATAATCAATATAAATACCCCCCTCCAAGTATAGACTCCCCTAAATCATTAGATCAATCAACTCCATTAATTCAACAAGAAGTTATAAATTCACCACAATCAATTAATCAATATAATAATGATCCAACACCAAAAATTGATGATTATGAATTCAATGAAAACTATAACTATAAGCCAAACATAAACATTAAAGATCAAGGTGGATTATTATCAACTCCTAAACCAAAAGTTTTCCATCCATCTCATGGAAGTATAAGTTATAACGTTACACCTGTTTTAGAACCAACAACTAAAGAATCAGATAAAGGTGGGATAAGTCGTTCAACAAGTCCTTTAAATCAAACAGATGCTCAGATTGTTGAAGCTAATCAAATTGCTATAACACCTGTTAAGACATCACCAAGAAAGACAAGTACTACATCACCAATTAAAAAAGAAGTAGAACAACAAGATACAAGTATAAATGATACAAGTTTGGGGAATGATACTACTTATTCAAATGAAAGTGAATACTTGAAAGATTTAAAAAAAGAAAAACATAATACAGTGAGTTTATTATCTGGTGGTAATGATGAATTTAAAGGATCAAATATGAATAGAAATTCTGTTATTTTCAGAACAACAAAAGAAGATGAAAAAGAAGTTTCATTATTTTTAAAAGCATTACATTCATTTGATTCAAATTCTTTAGAATTAACTTCAGATTCTGCCATTTGTTTATCATTTGATGCGAATGATGTTGTTTTCGTTCATTCTGTTGATACTAGTGGATGGGGTGAAGTTACAATGATTAAAAATTTTAAAAGAGGTTGGGTACCAATTAATTATTTTACTGAATTGATTAAAACTAATGAAAATAAATTAAACAAGTCTAAAGTACCTTTAAAATATTTATTAATTTCAAGTTCAAAATTTTTAAGAAATCCAATTGATGAAAATGATGGTGGGATTTCTATTAATTATATTAATGATATTAGAGATGGTGTTAGATATCTATTAGAACAATGTGATTGTCTCTCTAGATCAACTGAAATTGTTAAGAAAAAACCTATTATAAGAAGAATTAGGAAAAGTTTATTAGCTGATTGGTACTCATTAATGATTAAAGCTGATTCATATAAACATAAAGTTTCATTAGTTCATATTGAAACATTACAATTGATGGTGCTACAAGTTATTAGGAAATCATTAGCATTTTTAGAAATTTGGGGAATTGAAAATGAATTATTAAATAAAGAAAAATTGGAAATTGCAAATAAAAGATCAATAGAAAAACAAAAGGATAAGAAAAGTAATATTCCATACTTGTCAAAACAACCTTATGCTAAAGAACGTTTGAATGAAATTCATAATTTATTATTCAATTATATTGGGTTAATTTTAGGGAGATTAGATATGATTGAACATAATCCTTCCGGGTGTCAATTATTAGAAAATTTAATTCATCAAATGATTTTGCTGCTTAGAGAGATTCTTTATATTTCTAAATCATGTGTCTTGATTTTAAATGGTCGAAATACTAAAGTGGAAACAAAATTTGATGATAATTTAGATACGCTACTTTCATTGGTTTCTGAGTTAGTCTCTGCAGTTAAGCTTTTCGTCACCAAAACCATCCATGAAAATTACGATGCTGGCATGGTCAAAGTACAAGATGGGCTCTATTACTACTCTGCTGAAGGTGACGAGTTGATTGGGATTGTGTCCAAAATGACGAGATCGATTTCTGCTTCAGTCGAGAATTGTTTCAGGTACATAACGTTGATCGGCGATTTCACTTTAGGCGAAGAAAAAAGATTCCCAGATTTCCAATTAATCAAGATAACACCGGATTCTTTCATCAAGACATGTTCTGAAGGGTTGTTGAAGACGCTTGACAAGGGCAAAGTGGACTTGAAGATGCTGCAACGGTCCACTGTGAAGAGACAGTCTCGGTTCTCGATGGTTCGTTCGGGTAGAGATAGTGAGCTGAGGTTGACAAGCTCGGGTACTAATCTTTTACAAGAATTTTTACCAGATTCTAAATCATTTGTACGTGATTCCGTGTTTGAGCCTTATTTAAATGAATCTAATGATGCTAGTGATTTACAAATTCCATTTGATATCAAGAATGAAGTTGTCTATGATTCTCAGGGGAAATTGATTGGTGCTTCTTTTAGAGGCTTAGTTTACTTGTTAACTGATGAATTAACAAAACCTGATCAATTTTTAACTTCATGTTTCTTTTTAACTTTTAAATTATATTCAAATGGTGTGGAATTAATTGAAGAATTGATTGCAAGGTTTAATATAACAAATAAATTTGATATTAATGATGATTATGATGAATTAGGTGAATATTCTTCATATGATTCTAGGCTGAAGAATAGAAGGAAATTGATTTGTAAAATATTTCAAATTTGGTTACAAAGTTATTGGGATTATAAAAATGATTATAATTTATTACCAACTTTAATAAATTTTTTCAATGAAGGTGTTTCACAATTTTTACCAATTGAATCTAAAAAATTAATTGAATTATGTTCAAAATTAACTGGATTAACTCCAAGTAAGATTAAATCATCACCATCAAATTCAAATACAATTATTTCAAACTTATTAAGTGAATCTAAAAGTTCATCTTCTATAACAAATGGTTCAATTCAATTAGTCAAGAGAAATTTAGGTTTAGCTAAAAGATCATCAGTAATTTCCACTTCAAGTTCAGTACCATCAATAGTTTCCATAAATAATGATTTAGATGATGATGATTATATTTTTGAAGAATATGAATTAGCCAAGATGAACACCACAACAAGAAATTCAATGTTATTACCATTACCACATTTAACTTTTAATAATAATTCATTATTAAATAAATCACAAATTCATGAAATTGAAGCTTTAGTATTACAATATAGAAGATTTTTAGGTTCAAGTTTATGGGAATCTCATAACTATTCACATTATTCACCAATTGATACTGGGTCTTTACTTGATAAATGGGTCATTGCTTGTCAAACTCCAATGTCGCAAGTTATTAAAATTGATTATAATTTAGTTGATTTAAATTCATTTGAATTTGCTAAACAATTAACTTTAATTGAATCAAGAATCTTTTTATCAATAAAATCTGAAGAATTATTAAATGGTAATTTCACACAAAAAAATTTTAAACCAAATTCATCAGAAAATATTTCAAAATCTTTATTATTTACAAATTTATTAAGTGAATATGTTTTTGATTCAATTTTAACACCAGGATTATCATTAAAGAAAAGAATCTTACGTTTTAAAAATTGGTTAAATGTTGGTCTTTCATGTTATTATTTAAAAAATTATAATTCTTTAGCTGCTGTTATTATAAGTTTACAAAATCATATTTTATCAAGATTAGATGATATTTGGTTAGGATTGTCAGAAAAATATCAAAATTTATTTAAAGATTTGATGAAAATTATTCATCCAAATAATAATTATAAAGGTTATCGTTTCAAAATTTCTAAATTATTTGATGATAATGATTCAAAATGTTCAGTACCATTGGTTCCATATATTAATTTATTTTTACAAGATTTAACATTCATTGATGAAGGTAATAAAGATTTTAGAAATTCAAATTCTTTTCTACGTTCCAAAATTATAAATATTGATAAATTTTTAAAAATTTCCAAGATTGTTTCAAATTTAGAATTTTTACAAGTTGGTTATGATCATTTACAACAATCTAAAAAATCTAAAAGAAGTTCAATCTTTAGTTTTAATTCAGGTACTTCTTTAAATGATAATGTTGCTCCTTTATTACCATTACAAGAATTTATCCTTTTAGAATTTTGGAGAGTTCATCAATTGAATTTGAAAGAAGATGATAGATATTGGAAATTAAGTAAACGTATTAAACCATGATTAATGTGCTTTTGTTATTGTTTTTGTTATTTTTGCTGCTGTTGTTGTGTACTATTATGATTTAGGACATTTCATTCTATTTGATGTTTTTTTAGTTTTATGTTAATTTTAAGTTGTTTTGTTTAAGGATTACCTTGATGGTATATATATAATAAATATTAATGATCTAACCTACATGTAAGTTTTTTTAATGAATATTCACAATCTATGTATGCATTTATAACTTTTCCTTTTCTTCCTTTTTTTAAATCAAAAACAAAAATCATAGTTATATATCTTTTTTTTTTCTCCTTCTAGTACTATTATACAAAACAAATGATTAAATATAAATATATATAAGATATTTTCAAACAATTTAACCAGCACAGCTGATTTCATATTTGAAAATTTATTAAATGACAATTAAATGGGTGGGGGTAGTAAGTTTGATTAAGCTTTTGCAGCAGCTTCAGCTTCAGCACGACGTAAATTACCAATATGATTAATTGCTGAACCAGCTTTAAAGAAATCAACTTGATCTTTAGACATTGTATGTTTAGTTTCAATTTCAAAAGTTTCACCATTAGCTTTAGTAACTTTAATATTAATAATTCCACCATTATCACCATTTTTTTCCAACATATCAACTAAATTTGTTGTTTCCAAGACATCACCATGACTTAATTTATCATAATCAGCTTCATTTGCAAACCATAATGGTAACATACCTTGTTTTTTCAAATTTGTTTCATGAATACGTGCAAATGATTTAACTAAAATCATTTCACCAGATAAAAATCTTGGTGATAAAGCAGCATGTTCTCTTGCAGAACCTTCACCGTAATTATGTTCAGCAACAACACACCATGGTCTTTGATCTTCTTTCCATTTAATCATTAATTCTGGGATTGAATATTTATCACCGTTTAAATCATATGCAGTATTAACTTCACCAGTTTCTTTATTTTGTGCACCGATTAAAGTATTATATGAAATGTTTTCTAAATGACCTTTATATTTTAACCAAACACCTGCAGCTGAAATATGATCTGTAGTACATTTACCTTCAACTTTCATCAACATGTTTAATTTCAATTCTTTTCCATTCCATGGTTTGAAAGGTTCTAATAATTGTAAACGATCAGATTCTGGGGAAACATTAATATCAACTTCTGGATGTGGTTGAGGATTTAATGGTGGATAAAATTCTTCTCTACCTGAAATAAAACCTTCATTTGGTAATTCATCACCTTTTGGAGGTTGAAATTGGAAAGTTTCACCATTTGATAATTTAATTGAATCTTTAATTGGATTAAAATTTGAATCACCTGAATAAATCATTGCAGTAACCATTTCTGGTGAAGTTAAGAAATTCATTGTATTTCTATTACCATCATTTCTTGCTCTAAAATTTCTATTAAATGAGGTCCAAATTGAATTAGTTTCACTTGATTTTTTATTAATATCTTGTCTATCCCATTGACCAATACATGGACCACAAGCATTCGCAAGGACAATAGCACCATTTGATTTAAAAGTATCAATTAACCCATCTCTTTCAATAGTTGCTCTAATTTGTTCGGAACCTGGGGTAACGAAAAATGGAATTTTTGGTTTTAAACCAACTTGTTCAGCTTGTTTAACTAATGAAACAGCTCTTGACATATCTTGATATGAAGAATTTGTACAAGAACCAATTAACCCAGCACTAACTTCTTCAGGCCATTGGTTTTCCTTAGTTACTGAACCAAATTTACCAATTGGAGTTGATAAATCCGGAGTGAAAGGACCATTAACATGAGGTTCTAAAGTACTTAAATCAATTTCAATAATTTTATCATATTGAGCACCTTCATCAGCTTTTAAAAATCCAAATTTAGCATTAACTTCATCTGCAGCATAAGCCAAAGGAGCTCTATTTGTACTAATTAAATAACGTTTATGAGCTTCTTGATATGGGAAAGTTGAAGTAGTTGCACCAATTTCTGCACCCATATTACAAATGGTTGCCATACCTGTACAACTTAATGATTCAACACCTTCACCAAAATATTCCACAATAAAACCAGTACCACCTCTAACTGTTAAGATACCAGCTAAATGAGTAATAATATCTTTTGGAGAAGTCCAACCATTCATTTTACCAGTTAATTTAACACCTAAAACTTTTGGAGCTTTTAATTCCCATGGAGTACCAGTTAAGGCATCAACAGCATCTGCACCACCAACACCAATGGCAATAGCACCTAACCCACCAGCATTTGGAGTATGAGAATCAGTACCTAACATCATTAACCCTGGGGCACTAAAATTTTCCAAAACAATTTGATGAATAATACCAGAACCTGGACCCCAAAATTGAATACCATATTTTTCACCACAACTTTGTAAAAAATCGAAAACTTCTTTATTTGTTGCAATTGAAGATTTTAAATCTTTTTTTTCACCATCTTTACCAACGATTAAATGATCACAATGGATTGAAGCTGGAACTGCAGTGGATTTTAAACCACAAGTCATGAATTGTAATAGAGCCATTTGTGCAGAAGCATCTTGCATAGCAACACGATCAGGATTTAATTTTAAATATTCTAAACCTCTGATTTGTTGAACAGAACCTTTTGCAAGGGATTCTTCAGGGTTAACAAGATGTGAATATAAGATTTTTTCAGCTAAAGTTAATGGAGTATTATTTAAAATTTTATTAACTTGACCTAATTTTGAAACTAATTTTTGATATGGAGGAACTCTTGATTGGAATTCATTTGGAATTTGAGTAGTTAAATCTGCAGAGGTAGCAAGAGTTCGTATCTATTGGGTTATAGTTAGTATATTTTCACTTTGTTGTTGATGTTTTGAGTATTTTCTTCATGACCCATTATTCTTGATCTAGATCCCAATATAATTATGACTCAACCGATAAGAAAAAAAACGTCAAAAAAAAGATGGAGATCTAGAACCAAACGATGGGAATGAACTAAAAGTAACTTACTTGAACTCTTCTGACCTGTTGCAATGAAGATCTGGCACTCAACATTGTGTTAAATTCTAGTCTAATTATTGATCTTTTAAGATTTGAATTTTAAAAGTGTCAAAATTATTTGGTTGTATAAATTTATTTCACTTTTTTCACTTTTTCATTTACAAATGAAAACACTCGAAATTTAAATTGGTCATAGAATTTGTCAGAAATTATGTAATCAGAAATTAATGGTCTTGTCACGTGAGATAAGATAAGAGTGAGACTGGGACTTGAAGACTAAAAGACTAATAGACCCCAGACCCTGTTTACATCTGAAATTATTTTTTAACTTTAAACTTTTGCAATTTCTTATTTTCTGGTAAAACTTAAATTTGTGCAATTGAACCTTTTTCACAATTACTAGTTGTTCCATGGAAAATATTAATTAGATCTACGTCATATTTAAAATATTAGTATATTTATTATTTTATTAGTTCTATATTCTATGGTATACTTATTGTTGATTACGAACAAAATCAGTAGCCATGTTATAAACCCTTGCACGTTCTTTCAAAACATATGAAACTTCTTCTGAATCACTCATGGTTTTAACTTTGTTATCAATTTGTATTAGATTAAAATGACATTTCTTCAGTAAATTTGACTTGGTTTTCAATTGATTTGATAAATTTAATAAGTCACCTTCTGTTAATTTGGAATTAGATTCATGATCTACAGCACTTTCCAATTCATATTTGATAACTTTTAATTCATTTGATACTTGACCATATGTTTCATTAAATTGTTTATAATATTGGAATATTTGTGGTAATGATTGTAATTCTTTTGATAATTTTTCTTTAATCTTGATAAAATCTTCTAATGTTTGATTTCTCAAGTTATTAATATAATAATGATTATACATTGAACGTATCTTTTTATGAATAAATTCTGTATTTCTATTAACTTGAATAAATTTATCTTCAACTAATGTATGAATTGAATGATATAAATCTTGTATTTCATCATTTGTTTTAACTTGATATTCTATTGATGGAACTTGTAATGCTTCAATATCTAAAGGATCTTCATTAGGATCATCCAATACAACTAAATTTAATCTTGATGGTGTATAATATTCTTCACGAGCATTTGAATTCATGGGTATAACTCTTGAACCTTGTGAAGACCCAGCGGTTGTTGACCCAGCGGCTGGTGTTGAATTATATTCTGGTGGTGGAACAAAACCTTGTAAGGCATCGTTATAAGATGGTGGTAACTCTGTAGTGGACATGTTGTGCTTCTTGCTATTGTCTATTGTTGATACTGATAAGATGATATATTCAAGATAATGTAACCTTCTGGGGATCCTTTGTATTTATATACACGTCAATTGAAAACATCTGATATTGATTTGTTTGAATAAGAAAAGATAAAGTTATGTCATGATACAGCTAAGAATTTAAATTCCTTTTTATCAAGCATTTTAAATTTTAAGCTGCCGTCATTTTTAGCCTAGTTTTAGGTTCATTACCAAAAGTTTAATCGATTTTATTTAATCGTTGTAAATTATTACGTAC